AAAGTTGATCTTATCATGAGAACAACAAGAATAACACATGCTATGAAAATCGTAACCAATCTTAATACATTAAGAGCAGGCTCAGGACATATACCACATTAGTAATCATTATCCCTAGAATAGCCATTGATACAATCAGCGCAAAGAATACCTTAATATCCTAACAAGCATTCTCCTAAGGGGTTGTTTTTAGGAGGAATCATACCTAAGCAAGCTTGTTCAAAAAGACATTAAACAAATACCTTAGATTAATTACTTTTTCTCCAAAATCCAGGCTGAGGTCCTATTTCAGCACCTCCATTGCAAATGGCTTTTTCTGAAGGACAATTTTCACAAAATCCTGGAGAAGTCATTTTTACTAATGAAAAACTCTACTCACACTTCTAGCATTTTCCAACAGCAGTAAATTATTCTCCAATTTCACATTCTCTTAGTTCGATTTTCAAATCAAAATCTAGGTTTGAGGTACCTTTTTCATTCATTTTATCTTTATTTGAATTTTTAGTCAAATCAATTCCATCTGTTGTAACTATAAGTTTGTAAGAACTGCCAGGATTTCCAACAATTGAAATTTATTATATTTATGCTATGCCTCCTATTATATCGAAGGAGAGAGTGCCCTCAAGTATTGGAGAATAAAGACTTTGCTTGCTATCCAAATTTGTAGTTTCTACGCTTACTCTAACTTTACTTGAAAAATCTGATCCTACAATCTACCCATATTTATCTTTAAGGGCCATGTATATAGTAGGAATAATACCTCCACTCCTTTGAAATTCAATTTCATTTGATGAATTATTTTCAGCTTATAGCAACCTTATTTAATAATCATCTCCATTTAAAAGTCCCAGTTGAATCATTTGATTTAAATAATCCTTAAAAGAAACTGAATTCAGACTTTATGAAAAGCATGAAATATCATTTCCATAATACATGGCTTTATTGTTAGCAAATTTTAGTTCATTTTTTGTAAAAATTGGTTCTAATTGATCCCAAAAGATGGCACCTCCTTATATATCTGCCAAGTTATCTTCGAAATTGTTTATTCCTTCTAAAGTCATTTTACAATTTAGTAATTAAGAACTGCAAGTATAATATATTGCCCCACCTG